TGAAGCAGAACGGAGATGTCATCACCGATCAAGGACGGTCAGAGGTACAAACAAGAGGTCCACTTGCCTTCAAGAACTGGTTGCAGGCATCTAATATTGTCCAAAATTTCAGTGCAGAGTGATTTCTATGTAAAAAAAATCGTTTTTAAAATGCAAACTCTTATATCAACTAAGATGGCAAGATATAAATTTTATTATAACATATTTGCATAAGAGATTTAGAAAATGAAAAATTATTTTAAAGTAAAATATTAACCATAAAAATTAATATAGTCTAGAGTCTTATCATTTAAAAAAATGATAGACATGTATAACGACCTCATTTACTTATAAGAATGATATAAGAACTTTCATTCAATAAGTTTATAAATTTGCTTTATTCACTAGTAAAATATTAGTAATAAGTATTACACATACATGTCAAAATTGTTAAAATATTTCAATGATCCAGCATATATTAAATGTAATTTTTGGTTCATGTAATAGAGCAAATATGGTACTCTCAATTAAAAAATAGCCATAATGTTATTTTGTTATTTATGCATAGAATGGCATGTGAGATCCATTAATATTATGGTCAATATGACAACCATGCTTTGAGTGGAAGTTTTCATGTTCTCAAAAAAAACAAAACATAATTTTTAAAGGTTATGGTATGGCGCCATTTTCCTCTGGAGAGTGTAATACCATATTACTGCATTTTGCTTCTTTATTTTGTTAATCTATTTGTAGGCTTTTTTTAATGATTATAGAAACATTAACAAGGATTCATAAAATGAGGGTTCATCTAAGATATATTTGTGTACAGTGATATGCATGAAGATCTATGGCAATTGAACATACACTATCAATAACACACTGATCGCTTCAAAGGTTCATTTAACATTAATGATTGAGATTATCATATTTAATACCTGCTTTATATAAACAAGGATGTTAGAAAAAAAGCCTGAAGTGAAAGATATCCCTCATTTGCTTGTGTTTTAGACCTCATATTTCGTGTGACACTGGGGTTATATATTAATAACAAAAATCAAACATGGATCTTTAAGTTTTCCCTGGAGATGTAATTAAACTCAGCTATGTGTGTCAACAAAATTTGTCCCTCAAAATGCAGGAAATAGCGTTTCGGAGGGTTTAGATTTCCAAAGTAAGGTTGCGCCGAAGGGATTGGATGGTTAGCAGATATCTTCAGCCCATGCAAAATTTTGTGCCGCCGACTTGTATTCACATTTTCATTGCATATCACACCATTATCTTATTAGTCCCCGTTCGGACGCAGTCCGAAAACGGGGACTTATGTTTTGCCCTGTGTGCGTCCGTCCGTGCGTCCGTGATCACCTGTATCTCGAACATGCATGGACCGATTAAGTTCAAACTTCACTCATACATCACACATTATATGGGACATATGCACATGCATTTTTTTCATGATCCGATTAACGATAGCCGAATAGCGGCCATTTTAAGGCCGAAAATGCATCAAAATCGCACATTTTCACCATTCCGGACCCGGATCTCAGTTATGCATGGACGGATTTTGTTCAAATTTGGTACATACATTAAACATAATAGGACCTTGATGCACATCTTTTTTTTTTTCGGATCAAGTTCGAAATGGCCGACTGGCGGCCATTTTGTTAAAGAATTCAGTTCTGGATCCGTATCCAAGACATGTCTGGATTGATCAAGTTCAAACTTCACACACACATGGTACATCATGTCACAAATAGATATGTGCATTTGTTTCATGATCTGCTTAACAATAGCGGAATGATGGCCATTTTAATGCCGAAAATGCATCAAAATCACGTATTTTCACAATTCCAGAACTGGATCTCAGTCATGCATGGATGGATTTTGTTCAGATTTAGCACAATGTGTTGTACATATGCAGGTGCATTTCGGTCATGATCTGCTTTGAATGTATATGTCACTCAAATATGAACGGAACGGGGACGTGTCATTGACAATGACTTGTTAATCAATAACATTAAATACTCTGTAGTATGTGTGTGAAATCTTGTATGCATCAAATTGTAATTTTGTATGTTGTGACAGTTATATATAGTCGTATTACTCATTAGTCAATAAACTTACATACTTAAACATTCTAACATACCGTGAATATTCTTAATTTCAAATCAAAACAGTACTTTGAAATATTAATTAGCTTCTGTTGATTGATTGGAATTGATACTTGACATTCATACATGTATAGTATTAGACAATTCCAAGATATTATTAGATTTGGGTACAAATCGGTCAACAATTAAGAAAATTTGCATATAAATTGAATCGTTGTTTCTTTGATATTACAAGAACAAGTGCTCAGGTTCATATAAAACTTAAATCATACGAGCATATATAGAATAATTGCAATGCTTTATACGTGTTGATGATATGTGCATAATTAATTAGTATTCTGAGTTGAATTCTTGTTGATACTGTTCAATACATATTTACATATTGCCTTTGATGTAAGTCTTCGGTGTATCAGAAATAATATTGTTTGTATATTACTATAGAATAAATGTTTATATGGACCTTATCTATAAAGTGAGTCATTTTTTTCCAGCGAAGGTTATTTATGCAACCTTCCCACAATGTTTTATATCATATTTCCCAGAATGCATTGCGGTCAGTTTTTTTTTACTTTCTGCCTGCAGATTCAGAAATAACTTGGTACTGCTTTGCCAATTACGGTAATGGTCTTGAAACTGCCATTTGTTTTCTATTTAGTGTGCTTGTGAATATTTGGAAAATATGAAAAGTATTTGTTTTGTGTGCAATTGAGTGATATGTTTGTATAGTGTAGCATATTTGGATGTGCAAGACATTTCCCATGAGTGGTGATTTTCCTAGTTTGAAAACTAGCATCTTTGATAATAACATATTTAACAGCATATTTTTTGCTAGACTGGTGTCCTGTTAAACTGCATTCCTATTTCTGATACCTTTAGAAACATCTGCAGCATTTACATTTATGATAACTTAGGGGGCCCCATAACAATAGAAGTTGCTGCATTCCACTTTATAATAACATAGGGGGCCTCATAACATTTCAATTACTATAAAAGGGTTAATTATTCACTGGGTTTTAATTTTGCTTATTGTGCTGACTGGAAAATGCGCTAAATTGAAACCCAGTAAATATGTAAAATTTAGCATAGAACACATTATCTAAATAATAAACCATTAATTTAAAACCCACTAAATATGCCTGAAATGGTAAATCAGCGAAATTTAAACCGAGTGATAATTAGTCATTTTACAGTACTTGCACTATTTGTCCAAGTTAGACAAAGTGAGTCTCACTAGCACCAGCCAATTGACCCCGGATTTAAAAATAATGGTATCACCCACTAGATTCACAGCACCTCCAGGGAAGATGGGTAACACTTGTGGAATCTTCAGTTTTGCTGCCTGAAATCACGCCCTCGGCGATAAACTTATTAGAACATATACTGATTTATACTAGTATTTTTTTACCATATTTTGTCACATACGTCTACATCATTGGAAAAAAATACATTTTACAATTTTCTCTTTTTGGTACGATCGCAATTTGAGCTCAGAGAAAAACATTTGGTACGAATTGACTGTATCCTCGGGGGCGGAGCTACGTCACAGGACGTTCCACGTTGCTACGACGCGCACCACTGTACATGCATTTCTATGGGCTCTGTGCGCGCTGCTGTGGAACGCCGGTCGAGCCGGTGAAAATTCGAGAAAACAACACAAACTCAACTTTGAAGTAATCCCGAACAACCAAATTTATATATGTTACACACGTAGGGCTAATCTTGTTACACTGTTCAGAGGAGTCTCAACAGTCATCCCAAAGTACCGTTTTCTGCGAGTTTTGGGCCTTTGTTTTCACCGCCGCGGGTTGCCAGGCGGTGAAAATGCCCGGATGTCCGCGCCCGAGAATTGAAATTTTCACTACTCTTGTGGAGCAGCCATGACTTATAAATTGTGAACATTGCAATTACAGAGTTTCACGCTGACTGTAACCATTCATTTCATATGTAAGTGTCGGCATAGTTTTTTATCACTGTACAACTGTGTATTTGAGCTAAACAAGTTTCTATTAGCTTCCAGAAACTCTTTACTCTAGACTTTCACAACTGATGAAGAGATGTTCATTTTGTTTTAATTTTTCAATATATCATAGAGAAATTTATATAGAAAACTGTCTGAATAATACTCAATAGGCGGGTGATCTGATACCACCTTGATGGTAGTCAGCAATCATAGTATTACGTTTAATTTTATCAACTCTAGAACCCCCAAATGAAGGTAAAGAGTAACGTTTCTAGACGTTTTAAGGTAACATCAGGCACGATACACAATTAAGAAGGTAGACTATTTTTGCAGACGCCAATGACTTAATTACTGCAATTTTACCAAATGATGTGATATTTCTGTGTAACCATAGAGATAAGATATGTTCTATGGCATTTATTTGTTTAGAGCGAGAGTAAAATCTTCATGAATGCCATAAGAGAAGAAGGTACCTGGAGATTGTATTGGCATAATCGTGGTCCAATGCAAAGGCCTTTTGTTTTTCCAACGTTTAGTGATAAGCCTGACACTGAGCTAAAAGTATTCACCACATTGATTACACTAGTTATGGAATCTGTGTTTGATACGAAAATAGTAGTATCATCAGCTACCTGCGATTTTTTATATTTCTCTAGTAAATTTATGAGTTGAAATTGTAATAGCTTTAATTTCATTGTCACACTGATCTGAAATAAAAAATGATGTGTGTCACACGCAACGTAATATTACCGTAGTTGGTATAGTACAGGTGTGATGGTTCAAATACCAAAATGGCAACAGTAACATAAAGACTTCCCTGGCGGCGATGATAACATACAAACACGAAGCCAACAGATGAGGTTTCAACTGGTACTGGTATTATTATACTCTGCAAACATCAAGTACAATAACGCGGTAAAACTCCACTACTCCAATAACTAGATACTTAAACTCCAATACAATTCAACGAGATCTCCAATCTGAACTCAGTGCTGAACAACTCCCCTATATATACCCCACTGTCTATAAATAGACCATTACATCAGCATACATAATGAGTCTGGAACTTACTACA